CTATATATATAAGCGTATTTTTAAATAAAAAAATAAATTATACAATTTTTATAAATTCAATTGTATGATTATATAAAATCGTATTTATAAATTAAATGGTATGATTTTTAAAGAAAAAAATAAGAAAAATAATAAAACTACTATTTATGGGCTGCATTAAATGCTTACCTATTTTTTGCTACTAATTTTAGTAAATAGGATGGCTCTTTATATAAGTATAGATTCTTGGTTTTCTTTAATTACGTTGATAGTAGTTTGTAGGCAAAGATTATGTAAATAATTATATGTAGCCGATTTTGGAACTCTTATTTATCAAGAATTCTTTTTTATTTTAACATATTTATTAGAATCATTGATTTGGATTAGCATATATGTTACATACACTAAAAAAAAATAATTTTATAGTAATATTTAAATTTATATGGCGCCAATTTTGGAATTCTCATTTGTGAGGATTCTTTTTTTATTTTATCATATTTATTAGAACATACAATTACAAAATATAAATTTATTTAATATCTAAATATATTTATATTAATATTTAAATATAATTATCATTGTAGCAGATTTTGAGAATGAACGATTTTATATGAGATATAGACATATCTTTTTTTTTTTAAGATATACACCAATTCCCTTTATTGGTATTCTTTTTGTCAATTGTTTTTTAAAAGGAAAATTTTCAAAATTTTGTATAGTAAATCGATTTTTTTAATTTTTGTACACAGCAAATATATATATATTTACAAATATATATATATATATATATATATATATATATTTACTACCTAAAAAGTTGTCACACATATAATAGAATAGATGTCCAATTAAAAATTGTTCAGTTTGAAAATATATAACAAGTTGTCACACATTCAATTAAAAATTTTTCGGCTTGAAAAAATTAGTTTGAAGTAATGTCTAATCACTAATGTTTTATATTTATATCTACTATATATAATCTCTCTCATAAAATTAATGTGATGTAATATTTAATGTTTTGTATTATTCATACATATTTTTGTAGATATACACAATTCATTTCTCCAATTGTTGTATAAATTATCATATTATAAATAAATATATCTTAAACTTCCATTTAAGTTCCAGCGGCACCAGTTCCTTCTGATTTTGGGGTTCCAGTTAACAGTCATGGTCAGTCTTTTTGTATAAAGAATATAGAAATATTAGTGAATATTATATAGCTAATCAAGTATAATCGATATTAAACTAACAGCTTATTGTCTGACTGCTTAAGTAAATTATCATATTATAAAAAGATCCATCTTAGAGTTTTATTTAAGTTCAATAGCACTAGTTATTTCTAATTTTAGGGTTTCATTTAAGATCAGGGTCAGTCTTTATGTGCGTTACCATATTTAAAGAAATCGGTTCTTAGCAACGACCGATTATATGTTGTTGTTTTTACGTGTAAGTAATAGATAAGAGATGTGCATTGACATGTTTTAAAAAAAAAAAAATTTATCACGACCAATTGTATGTTGTTACGCGTGTAAGTAATAGGTCAAGAAGAGTCAAAGTCAACATTTATTGTACGTTGACATGTTAAGTAATGGATCAGGAAGAGTCAAGGTCAACATTTATTGTACGTTGGCATTTCTTAAAGAAATCGATTTTTAGTCACGGACAATTATGTTGTTTGTTTCACGTGTAAATAATAGAAAAGTATCGAAAATATTAGTTTGTGGGGACGACGAGTTGCTCAATTATTGAACAAATAATGTTGTGTACAAGAAAGTTTAAATAATATATTTTTTTGCATGAGAAACATTTTATGGTTTGATAATTTTCTTACGAATTATCACTCTTTTATTTATTAATACATTTTAATTTTTAATATTCTTCAAAGTAAATACAGCCCGTGCATCGCACGGGGGACATACTAGTTTATATAAAACATTATCTTTTATTCATCATTTTGAAAGTGACAACTTAATGAACTATGGAGACAAAGTCTTTTTAGTGTTACATATGTTATAAGTTATACATTGAC